AAGCTAAAAGCTTGGTTACTCATGTCAAGTGATTTCTCTAGCAGCATTTAATGTCAATAGCAAATCAGCAAGTATTTTAAACTTGAGCATCAGAAGGCCACTGAGGGTGAATCACACAGGAATTGACAGATTTCTTGGAAAAACAGAAATGTAATTAACTGCATTCCACTGAAAGGATGATTTCTGATTGCCATAGTGACTCACTGCTAGCAGTTTTAGTCCTCAGTTTCTAATGAATACCCTTAGATTAGAATTAAAAACTAAATATAGGAAGCCTTTGGGTCATGAAGAAACACCAGGCAAACTTAATTTTTATTTTATAAAATAACTGCTCTGTATCTTCAAGACATCAAGGTTGGGAACCTGAGAGAGCATGGCAGCCTCCTGATGGAAGGGGATTCCAGAGCCTGGGGACGGACGCCACATCTGCACCTGGGCACAGTGGAGACAACGCGGATCTTGCAGCAAATTATAGTGATGAAGGAAAAAGCATTGCAAATTTTACATAAATTTACAATTATTTATTCAGGAAAAGTTTTTAAAAGTCAAATAAATGATCTACAGCTGCAAGAAACACCCAAAGAGTCTCACAGTGGGGTGGCAGTTGTCAGACACTGAAGAGCACAGGTTGCCCACTACCACCCACCTGGCAACACCAGCAGGTTGAGCCAAACCCTGTGGTCACAGTGAGGTGGCCAGGCCTGGGCAGCTGAGTGTGTAGGTAGGGAGACAGCTGGTCCTGAAGCACTGGTCATGTTGCACGTGTGAGTGTCTGTGAAAATAGGCCCCTCGGCCCTTGGACGCCGTGAGCACCGTCCTGCCGTGCAGTGTGCTCAGCATTACGGTGTGTGCTGCAGAGGCCGCCAGCCCAGCCCCGACAGAACACACGGCTCAGCTTCCACCCCCACGGGGGAAGACTTGGGGGTGAGGGCCGCGTCACTCCTCAGTGGGGAGGTGCTGCTGCCGTGGAGCCGGGTCGTCTGTGTAAAGGAAGAGATGGCCATTCCTCCTCACACCCTGTGTACAATGACTTAGGTGTGAACTGAAGTTCCAATGTGAAAGCAGAGTTTAGATCACTTACATATGTATGCAATCTTACTCTCATGAACTGGAAGGAAGCAAACCGGGATCACAGACATAAATCCTAAGGAGGACAAGGGGGAAATCTCACTATAGTAAATTTAAGGGCTCCTGGTCAAGCGCATAGCAATAAAAGTAGGATAAGCAAACTGAGAAGGGAATAAGTGGCACATATAATCGTCAATTCTCAGCAGTTCGTAATAGACCCCGGGAATCGATAAGATGGAAATACACCAGAAAATTGGGCCAAGAAAAGAAACTGAAAAAACTGGTAAATGTATAAGAAAAAAAGATGAAATGCTGTCTGATGACTGTGGAAATGCTAGTTCCTAAAATAAGATCACATACTACATGCAAATCACTGGCAAATTTAACCAAGAATAGTCTAACAATAATGACAACGATGCTTTAGGTGCTTTTCACAACACAAACGGGTCCAGCCCTCCTGGAAACCCATGACCCGGTGTAAGGAGCATTTCCCTGTTCACAGCTGAGGAACTGGGTGGCAGGACACGTCAGCGACTGGCCCAGGCTGACACAGCCAGCTCCTGGTGGAGCCCAATTTCACCACGAAGAGTTTTCTACTGGGCAGGCCCCGTCTGCAGACCCAGCATTGCTGTTTTCACTGAGTAGAAGAATCTCATGCCCGTCTTCTAAACCTGACGTGTATATTACATCCTCTGTAAACCCCTCACGTACAAGCCAAAAAGGAACTCCTAGGACCTATCTTAAGAGTCTTTGTAACAGCACAAAAGACAGCAATAATAAAAGCCTGTAATAGGGATTAGAAGGTAAATACAACTGATTTTGTGTCAGTAAAAAGTATACTATTAGTCATTTGGAATAAATTAGCTAAGGACTGAACCTTTTGGCATGGAAATTTTTTGAAGACGGCATGGTTAAGGATGCTTTTAAACAGGGTGTAAATAATATGTTCTCCTGGTAACTTAGAGAATAGTGGGCTATGCAGCTACTTTACGTGTGTGGCAGACAGAAAGGGGTTGTAAGTAGGGATGCAGCCTTCAGGATGGGGATTATCACCCGGCACGGAAGTAAGCTCTGCCCTCTATTCCCACAGTACAATCCCTGCTCTCTGCGACACCCTAGAATGTAAGCATAGCTCTATGCATCTACGACCTAGAAAGTAAATGTTGCAGTTAAACAAGGCCATGTTTTCTCACCACATTTTCCAAGCCGCATCTCCTCAGGAGTGTATGGGGGAACAGGTATTTTATTTGTTTATGCATTGTTTCTTAAATTAAATAATTTTACAGTACATTTTAGATACACATAATGAGCACATTCATCATAGGGAATTTGTGCTTGTACCTGGTGTATCTTGATTCTTCTTTTTTTCCCATTCCCCTCCCCTCCCTTCGACCCCTCTTCCTCTTGTTTACAAAGCTTTGTTTCTATTTTTCCTTCTTTTCTTTGCTTTCTTTTCCCTTCTTTCCTATCCCCCTCCCCCTCCCTAGTTCCCCCTTCCCATTTTAAATTTATTTTTAAAGGTAGATGGATAATGGGTACACAATTGTCTAGTGCATTATACTTACACATTTTGTGTTTTTCATTATTCTGGGATTTAGAATGAACATTTAAAATCATTAAATGATGGTGATACAGACATAAAACAAGCAGGGAGGCATCACCCAGGTTTATTTTCTTGCAGGACAAATTTGCTATTTCGAAAACTTATCCTAATACAATTTCACTTTTCTCCAAGTCGAGCATGGGTTGAATGTAACTTTGACAAAATGCTTTTAAACTCCACCGGTTCTGTAGACAGTGGAGGATTTCATCAGATGCGGCAGGAGAGACCTCGGGGCATGGGTGAACGATCCTCACAGGCTGAGCGCCCCTTCTCTAGGCCCCTTCAGGGTGACATATCCTCCTCTGGCCAAGTGGCACTAGAGGTTGGCCGACCTCTGGAACCTGTTTCCTGTGGGTCACCCCCAGGACCTCTCCAGCTGCCTTTCTGGGAAACCTGCTCTTGCCCGGGCAGAGCCCACTGCTGCCACTGGGGGACGCTCTGCTCACGGCTGCTTGATGCTTTCTAAATAACTACGGAAATAATAATGGGAGTACAACAGACGTTTCTATTTCATTGTTTTCCACTGAAGCTCAAGAGTTTCCAGTCTCCTGAGTGACTGACGACCATCTGCTTCTTAGACTGGCTATTGTTATCATTCTCAATGTCATCGCAGACTCTCAGCTGGTCCAGAAATCTTTCTCAGGGTGCCAGCCATGTCCTGTTTCCCATCCCCTCTCTCTATTTCACCTGATGCTCTTCCCATTGGTATTATTTAGAGACAAGAGGACTCCGGGACAGGAGATGCTTTAAGAGCTCTATCTCAGGTCCTAGGTGAGCTGTTGCCAATTTCTAGCCCTGGACCCCTGGTCCCGGGGAACACGGCCCTCCCTTATTTGTGGCCAGCTCCCTTCTCTCTTCCACGGTGCAGGGTCCTCTCACCATGCCTCCAGCAGGCTGCATTTCGGAAGCTGACGCTCTGCTTCCCCAGCTCACGTGTATTCAGCCAGTGGCCACGGCTGAGGTTTCATGGGAAACCTCACAGGCCCGCAGAGGCGGACGGCGCGGGGCCTGGACTCTGGTTTTGCATGATGCTGACCATTCCACTCTATGCGCCGGGCTCCACCCCCTATTTCTGATACACACAGTGCCCATGCAGCACAAGTAATGTTTTGGAGAAGTACATGTTTTTACAAAGGGCTGCATATAGTCAAAGAGAACAGCAAGAAACCAGTGCTGCTGAAAAGTAACTCTTGAATTCAAGTTTATGATCTAGGCCTAAAATAGGTCTTCAAATATCCAGTCTTTGAACCTCTTGCCCTGATCAAAATGGACCGTGAAAGCCCCTGTGGTCGCAGATTGCTTGCATTTCATAACACAGCTCTAGTGAACTCTCCTGCCCGAACAGTCCCTCTCCCTTATTGTAATCTTACCAGTTCTTTCCGATTTCCCCCAATTGCACTTCCTTTCCATGAAATGGCTTTCTCAACTCAGTGTTGCTTCGTTGCCTTCTAACCTCCTTGTAGGCAACAGGGCGACATGAAACTTTGAAATTAGAATGTTTCCTTTAGAGACAGCTGCTTCTCCAGACCTCCTCAGGCCTAGAGAATAACCACGGGCCTCTCCTCTCCTCAGCCCCAAGGAATGGACAGAATATGCAGGTGATGCTGGCCTGAGGAGGCCAGGGTTGACTTCCTATTTCCACAGGAAACAGGAGAGGGATGAGGCAAGAGTGGCGTTATCCACTGTCCCCTTGTATTCGCTCTCCTTTCTCTTCCTCACTATAAAGACCCTTGCACACGTGGACACAATGAGTCACTGATTCATGGGAACACGAAGCCCCTGTTCTCCTCTGAACTAGCTTTGAATAAAGCTTCTTTCCTTTGCCAAACACGGCCTCCCTTGGTTTGTTTGGGAGTTGCGAGCAAACGCACCTGAGTGTACGGACTTGAGCAACCAGTGACATCTTGACTTGTCATTAGTAGTGCAAATTCTCAACTCAGATCCTTCAGTGGGTCCTCAGCTCCAAGGGAAGTCTGTGATGTTTTCTGTTACTTGAGTTTTGTATTTACCTTTGTGGTCTAAAGGATGAGGACTATTATGGTCTGTATCTGAAATGCCCCCCAAAGGTCTCAGGCATTCAGAGGTGGGGCTTTGGGAAGGTGACTGGATCATGGAGGATAACGTGCTCATAAGTGGATTCATCTATTGAGGAGTTCAAAGTTGAATGTGCTGTTTGGAGGTGAAGTCTCATGGGAAGGAGTGGGTCACACGGAGTGTGGAAGGGTGTGCTTTTGTCCCTGGCTCCTCCCTTCTCTCTGTTTCCCGGATATCATTAGTTGAGCAATTTTCCTGGGCCATGATCTTCTGCCATGATGTTTCTACTTTGAAGCCAGCCTACCCTGAACTAAACCCTCGAAAACTGTAAGCCCAAATGAGCCTTTCCTCCTTGAAGTTGCGAGTGCCAGGTATTTTGTCCCAGTTATGGGAACACTGTCACAAGGACACTACCTCAATATCTCACACAATTTGTCCTAGTTCCGTGCACGTTCCTAGACTTGAAAAAAATCATGTCGATTCCTGATTTAAGATTGCTTCTGTGCAGCCAGAACAGAAAGATTTCCATCATTTCTCTTTTCCCTACATTTCATCGTTGTTCAAAGTAAACAATGTCACATGTCTTTAGCATAACTCTGCAGCACCATAACCAACCCTGTTCCTTGTTGATTGTCCTTCAGTTCCCCACCAGGGCCTCTTCTCAGGGATTGTCAGACTCGTGTTGCCATGGGAGCAAGCATCCAGTGGACTGAGCTTCTTGCTGCCCAGTGCTCTTGTGAGTCTCAGTGTGTGGCTGGCTGGGAAGGGGTTCTACACCAGGACAGATTACTGCTAGGAGCCAGAAATGAGTACATGCCAGGCTCAACACAGCACATGAATGCTAGCAAAGTCAGAGGGAAACACACGTGTTTCCAAGTGTTGTTTAGACGTGAAACAAGCAAGTAATTCTCCTGGTCTTTATAAACAGAATCATACTTCATATACATGATCATACTTACTATGTTATTTTCCTAGATATGACCATCTTAATATGTCTAATCAGCAGAAGAGGAAACTATAATATTTGAAAGAAAACGTCATTTAAAACAACACAAATACAATCATAGCCAACAGACACGAAAAGAAATGGGATTTTTCTTTGGTGCATCCAGAGAATAAGGAGACCACTTTAAATTGAGTCTTACACAAAAAGCTAGTATTAAAATAATGAGCTCCAATGTACTACAGAGGACATTCGCTAACTCAACAGAAAACTAGGCTCTCATATCAACTTCACATCTCCACACTTGTGGGTTGTTACTTGTAACAAGGAGATGACGATCTATTGGATTCTGAATAACAGATGTGAAATCCAAGCAACAGGCACTTTAAATTCCATTATGAGCTATAAAAGTAGATAGTTCTATCGTAAGCTTTACACCAGTGCACACTGTATCTCATATATTTGTTACCTCATATTTTTCCATTTACTTTCTCATATTCTATGACAGTTAGTTGAAGATAGTGAATATAATGAGTGGTCAGTGTTTACACTAAGCACATTTGTTAAATACTTAATATATATATATATGTGTTAAAACTCAGGTGTAAGTTTATTTATATGAATTATATCAATATATTTATAGTTATAGACATCATACATTACATTTTAAGTTTTAATGAACTATTTGGTAATTATTCCAATGTATTTCACCTTATTTATACATTGATAAGGAAATATGCCTCTTAATGTGCCTCTCCTTTCCTCTGGAATTATATATTTCTGAAAAAACTGCAAACACAACATATTATTTGAAGCCATAAAACTGTCATACTGTTGACACCTTCAAGATAAACAAACCACCAAATAACAGGCTTTTGCCATCCTAAGATCCAAATAGTGTAGAAATGTCAAATCTAACAACCTCCATATTCTACTGTGTCTGACTTAGAATCTGACCTCTACATTCACAGAAGAATGTAAATTGGAGTTATTTTTGTGCATTTATTTTTCAGAAGGTAATTCAAAGTTGACTTTGTCTCACCGTAAAATTCTCTGAACTCCACAATCATCTGTGACAGCACAAATACAAGCCAGGAGCAACACATTCTAGTTAATTTTAAATAGCACATGCGCATTCTTATGCTTTCTCTCAGCACCCCACTCCACCCCTAGGAGGTACAGACAGATGGATATGAAATCGCCAACTGGCCAAGGTGTTTGGAGGCAAATAATCTGATTTTCTGACACCAATGCAATAAAATGAGATACGGCCTCCTTTACCTTAGAGTTGTAATGAAGAAGCTGGTATCAGATTCATTCTCTTAACCAGGAGTAGCCATGAAAATTGTGCTAAATTAAGCATCCAATTGAAGGCCTCAGAAAATCACCAAAGCAGCTAGGATTTAAGGAGCCAAGATTCTGGAGAAAACCAAAATGCACAGAGCCAGCAGGCTCCGGCAGTGCAGCCTTTTCAGTGGGCATGCTCTTGCTTCTGAGCCAAGATCACGGGCCGCACAGGAAGCACATGTTAAATGTGGGGAAAGCGGAGCACAGATTTAGCAGTTTTGCAATGCCAAGGAGACACCATCTTACTCTGATTTGGGCTCAGTAGCGGAGCAAAGCCACATGGACAGCAAACCAGCTGCTCACCTGGGGCCTAGGTGGGGCTGCAGGTCAGGGAGGGAGCAGGTGCGACCAAGCCACCTTAGCTGGGTCAGGATGTCTGCCTACAGCTCACCTGCCCGCCGGGAGGGAAACGAGATGATTCTTCTTCGGAAAAATATAATGTCATCTTGGCCGCTAAAAAACTTTGATAAGGAATGTTCATTAGTGAAAAATTTCCATTTAATAGAAACAGACAAATGAGTGCACACACACAGACACAGCAGAGAAAGACCCCGCTTTAAGGTTCTCAGACACCAAATTTTAAGGAATACTGACTGACATGAAAACATGGAATGATAAAGAATTTCACCACAGAAGGGGAAATCTTCAAGTGTATGAAATGGAAAATTTAATACTGAAAGAAATTCCTAACATCTGCCATTAGTAGATGATTTTATCAGGGGATTCAAAAAAACAGAAGAGAGAATTAATAACTTGTTACGCCAATAAACCCAGCTTATATACCCAAAGATAAAGGGTAGATGACAGGGAAAAAATAGTTCAGGGGCTGGGGATTTAGCTCAGTGGCACAGCACCTGTCTCACAAGCACAAGGTCCTGAGTTCAATCCCCAGTACCAAAAAAGGTCATATTTTCATAGAATTCATACCAAAAAAAAATCACAAATAGAAACACAATGTCTTAAATTCAATGATAATGAGCTGGTGAAATATCGGTATGCATATCAACATGCATAGTTCAGTAAATCTGTGATTTAAGAAAAATTACAACCTCAAACACTGATTTTAAAAAAGGCAATAAATGAATGCTGTATGTATGCAAACTAACTAAAAGAAGGAAAGAATAAAAGTAAAAACAGAAGTCAATTGTATAGAGAATGAATATTCAATAAAAGATTAATCCAAAAGAGTTTTTCCCTGGAAAGCGTGTTATAATTAATAAATTCACTGGATACTGACTTTAACAAGTCTCAAATTACCAGCATATGGAAAGAAAGAAAATCCCCCAAAATTCTACAAATATTAATAGACAAACAGGATGATGAATAATTCTATGCCAAAACTATGAAGATTAAATACAGTTCATTTAATTCTTAGAAAATACAATTATTAAAAACTAACATGAGTAGAAATAAAAATATGAGGAGCCCTACACATGTAATGAAATTGAATCCAGAGCTATGATTCTTCCTACAAAGAAAGTACAAGGCCCTACTGGTTCAGGGCGAATTCTTCTAAGCATCTGAGAAAGAAGGAATGCCAAGTGTTCACAAATGCTCCCAGAGGCTAGAAAATGGGAAACATTTTCAAATTTCTCTTATGGAGCAAGCTTATTTTAACATGAAGGACTGATAAAACAGTAAAAGAAAAATTAGAAGCTGATGTCTGACATGAACATAGATGTAAAAATTTTAAATTATTATCTAGTAGAATCCAGTATTACAAAGAAAATACTAAAATATAAAAATGAGAGGGAAATTTAACATTTGAAAATCAGGAAATATAATTCACAAACAAAATAATAAATGAGAAAATGAGCGTTTCAAATGGACGAGATAAAAATTAAGAAAAATCAAAATCCTTCACTACAGAGAAAATTATTAAAGTCTTAGAAAATGGAATCTCCTTAATATGATAGATTCATAACCATCTTCATTCTTAATGTAGTTACTAAAAGTTCAGGAGAATTGTCTTCTTTTATACTAAATCACAGTTTGTGTTCAAGGAAATACTATGGTTATCTTATCCAGAGGAAAAAGGAAAGCCTAGCAAAAGGTTGGAAAGAAAGAAATAAAACTATTTTGTTGTTGTTGTTGTTTTTGGTACCGGGGATCGAACTCCGGTTCTTGCACCTGCGCAGCAGGCAGTGAAACCACTGAGCTAAATTCCCGGCAAAATTGGTCTTTTTTGAAGGCAACGTAATTGTGTACATAGAAAAATTAAAAAATACTTTTATAGTTAAGTGAATTTCATAAACTTACTGGGCTTGGGGCGTTATTTTTAAAATATTTTTTATACAATAAACATCCACAATTAGAAAATAGACATTACAATTTATGTATAACAGTATTTAATCAGAGCTATAAAAGAAATCTCACGGAAAAGAGAAATACGATTATTCATTGAGAAGAATTTTACAGACCCAAACAAATGAGTATATTTAGAAACACTTATGTGTTTAGTTGTTCCTAAATTTAATGCAATAAAATTCAAAATCCCAGGGAATGTTGCACCCTCTCATCTCAGGGTACTGGTGAGTAGATTCTGACTCAAAAGGACTAAGAAGACACAAGGCAGCTCTGACGTCCATGTGGAGGACTTGAGTTCAAGAAGTCACCGTGTCTTATCATGGACCAGTGGAACAACGAGAGAATTTCAGGAATGAACCATTCGTGTTTGGTGAGCTGATTTATGCAAAAGGGTGAGGTAGTGGGAAAAGGGAGGTCTTTCTAAGAAACAGGTTTATGTCAAACTGATGCGCTTAAAGAAAAAAAATTAATCTTGACCCCGTATCTTAAGATGTTTTCCACATACATGGAGACTCTGCAATACTTAAATCTCCGTCATGAAGGAAAAGGTGACATCACAATTGTAATCCTTTTCATTTTAAAGCCTTGAACAGATACCTCACAAAAGAGGCTGGCAGTGGACAAAAATTATGTGAAAATGTGGCCAATCCCACTTCTAATCAGAGAAACACAAAACAACAAGAAGATGCCACTGGATATACCTAGTAGAATGACAGACAAACACAACAAATAAAATTTACCCAAAGAAGCAAAGCAAGTAGAATTTCTGTAATCTATTGGGGGCAGCATCAATTAGCACAACTTAGAAAATTGTTGATATTTCTCAAAATTGAATACATAAATATGCACTTTGACCCACCAATTTCACTATTAGGTATACATCCAGCAACCAAGGTATGTATATATGTTATCTAAGTACATGTGTGGGAATGCTCCTGGTAGTAATACCCTTGCTGAAACAGGCCACATTTCCATCAATAATTTGATTTCCATATATACACAAAGGGATTTATTTTTTTGCTAGTGGGGATTGAACCCAGTGTAAACTACATCCTCAGCACTTTTAAATTTTACCTTGAAACAGACTCTCTATAAATTACCCAGGCTGGCTTCCAACTCGTGACCCATCTGCCTCAGTCTGTGTCACAGCTGGGATGCAGCTGTGCACCATCCTGCCCAGCCACAAAAGGGGATTTTATATAGCAGCACAAAAGCAAAAGCCTACTCCACTTCCTACTGTATTTATTATGTTGCTACACACAAGAACATGGAAGATGCTACTCATACTCTTATTTCTTGATCTGCATGATGGTTTTAAGAGTGTGACTGCTTTACATAAATTAGATGAACATGATATTTAGTATTTGTACACCATACAACATTGATGCACTGCTTGCATTGCTATGCTAAAATATTTACAGAAACATTAACTATGCCACAACCGCACAGTGAGAAATAGCACTGAGTTGTCCTCAGAACTATTTAATAATAACCACAGATCAGGTTAATGCTAATCTTTGGTTGAACTTCTGAAATGATAATGGGAGGCTTCTCCCTGCCATCCCTCCCCGGGGACTCAGATTACCCAGCATGAGGTCCGGGTGGGTGGAATGGAAGGAGGAGAGTGGACAAGTTTCAAGTCAGTTTGAAGGCCACGTGGAATTGCACTTTGGAATGCAGGGTGCAGGGTGGGTGTAAGCAGGACTCTCTTGTGCTCAGGAGCTATGCATGTGAGAAGTATTTGACTCCTTGAAAGGTGGAGAGTTTCCACCTCTCTCTGTCTCCTCTGTCTCTATCTTTGCTTCTCCCTGGCTCCCTGCAGTATCATTGGTATGTTCGTGCTGCAGGGCTCCATACCTACTCCCCGGCTTCCCTTTGTCATGGACGTGCTCTGTATTAGGATTTATGCTTCACAAGTGGACCAGTCTCATGGGTACACACAAAAACAGGGAGCTCCTATGATATACAGTAATATTTTTTGATCCATTGCTATTGAAAACCACACCATATTTTCAGCTAGCTGGAATATTTTCCTACATGTAATTTGCCTCTTGCTTTGGAGGGCCTCATACCTAAACCCAGCCTGTCCTTTGGAAAGACCACCACACGTGGTGTCACTGCTCTTGTCCTGCTGCTTTACTGGGACAGAACCTCTTCAAACAGGAGGCCCATGCTCAAGTAAGCTCGGCACCAGTTGGTCTCGGATCTGTCAAACATGTATAGGAAATGTGGCTCTGTACTATTTAATTTTAGTCTGTCTAGTGAACAGTCATAGCAGAATTACATCTTTTAAGTACAAAGAATATTTTTGATAAAATTACTGATCTTCAAAGTTGCTTTGGAACAAACTAAAGTGACTCATGTGACTCAGAGAATTTAATTTTTTTTCTCAGAAGTATGACTTTAATTATTGTTTGATTTGTCTCTTCTTAATCATTCACTGGGTAGATATGAGAATCCCTAGTGAGTGTTATTCTATGGGACTAAATGATATTTTAAAATTTACACTTACCATGGGAGAATAAATTGGGAGGTCCTTGAATGGGTTGACCAGCAGGAGGATGTCCCCAATAAAAGTCTGTGAAGAAAAGGTGTAAATAACTCATGAGCCACAGACTTAAGTGTTTTTAAAAATTAAAAATGACATAATTTAAAAATCATTCTGGCAAAGATAATGAATATGTGAAAACCATGCTTTAACATTTTGCAAATTGTTTCAAATATTATAATTAAAGAAATGCAAATGTTAAATTAAATAAAACCAATAGATTTTGTTCCACTAAACATGTAACAAGTGAAATGGTTGAATTCTAAGTGTTTATCTGAGAAGAATTTTGTGAGAATCAGACTGAATAAAAAATGCAGAATGTAAACATATGACATGTACATAAGGAGAAGTAAACAGAGTAGTGAGTTCTATGCTGCTGTAGAATAATGATGAAACAAATCTGAAGTATTATTAAAGCACAAAAAGAAAATAATTTGTTAATTAAAAAATTTAGTAGTGAGGTATAAAGGCACAAAGGACAGATGGAAAAAGAAAAGATAAAATGATAGATTTAAACCCAAGCATACCAGCAATTACAGCAAATGTAAAGTTACTAAATATTTTAAAGATAAGTATGAACTAGATTAAAATACTGAATAGGTGCTACATTCAATCTGTATACATGATAATTAACTTTGTAAGGTCTTCTAAGATAAATAAATGAACCCGATGATGGCAAAATAAACATGGGTGGGGGAAAGGGGGAAACCGAAGTGAAATGTATAGTGTACTGTACAGTTCCCTACAGTGAATGTCATCATCATGTACCAAAAACATGGACTGATAAAAGCAAAAACAAAAGGCTGAAATGTAAAGAGTAAGAAAATTTGAAAGTGAAAGGATGAAGCAATAACCAATAATCACAGCAGGAAAGGTCACTGTAGCACTCCTTAATGCACAGAAAATGCAATTCAGGAAGCATTACAGAAATACAAAGGGGCATTTCCTAATGGTAAACTGACAAATCAGTTAGGAAGATACATCAGTTCTAAATTTCCATCATAATAAAACCCAACTCAATTATATGAAACAAAGACAGATACAAGGAGGAAAAACTCAAATTGACAATGACAGTGAGGAACTTTACCAGCTTTTCTTAGGAATTAATGGAATAAGCAGACAAAGTTTTGATTTATAGAGTGCACTGCTGGAATAAGGATTCCCTTGAACTAAACACAGAGAAATTCGGTAAATTTAGAAGGTATTAGGAACAGAAGTATGCTCTCTGATCAAAGTAGAATTAGGATAACTTTATTGTGTATTGGAAACTGGGTAGGAAGGTTAAGGGACTTTTACTACAGAACAAAAAAAAATGATTTGAGGTGAAAGCTATGCTAATTTTCTTAAACACAATAATCATTTAGGTATGTCCGTGTATATCACCACAGTGTGTTGCACACTTCAGGTATACACAATAAAAATTAATGTTTTTAAAACTGTCATTTAACTAAAAATATAGAAATCAAGAATAGGCGCCTAAAATAATCACCAAACTTTCAGAAAATATACTGTGTATCTGCAAGTAACCCAGGAGTGAAAAAAGAATAAAAATGCAAATAAGAAAATATTTTGATTACAGCATACTGCATCCTGTGGGAACCCACTGAAGGTGTACTTGGTGTGAAAGGTATACTTGAAAATGCTGGAAAAGAAGGATGAGCGTAATGATTTGAGTGTGTGCATTTCAAGGAGCTCTTAAAATTAACACCAAGTTGTGCAGAAATAGATGAAGAAAATAATACATAGTAGAAATCAGTGGAATAGAAGAAAAAAAGCCAAATTGTGAGCCTTTGAAAAATCTATTACTATTGACAATACTGTAACAAGACTGATTAAAGACATAAGAGGAGGTACACCATTCCAGTGTCAGAAGGGACATCACTACAGGTCTCACAGACACAAGGATGGGGCCACTGGATTTGGGTGTTTACTTTAGGTAAGGTGGATGACAAAGACAGGACAGCACATCTTCGCAAAGCCAACACAGGAAGTAACTGAAAATCTAGCTAGTTCTTTCTCCATGAGAGAAATAGAATCAATGTCTATGAATCCTTTTCACAAAGAATATTTAGGCTACTTTGGTGAATTCCTCCTGGTACTGATTAAAACAAAGTGTTATACAGATTATTTAGAAAAAGAAAGAAGGAACACCTCTTATTTGTCTTTAAGAGGCCTGCAAGACTTGGACATCAGAGTTTAACTAGTATATTGCAAAAAAGCAGATTTACATGCTGACCTCTCTCATAAAAATACATACAAAAAGTCTGGAGCAAAACAGTGACAAATTGAATCAAACTATTTAGAAAAAAGGACAGAAAAGAAATACATGTCAACCAAGTGAGCTTTACTCTATAAATGCAAGTTTGGCTTTATGTTTAAAAAAACCTTCACTAATATTTAAAAGGTACATATGATCATCTTCCTAAGTGGAAGGAAAACACTTAATAACATTCAGTCCCCATCCTCAATTTAAACACAGTGGTAAATTCTAGAGCCATTAAGGTCAAAGGAAAAGTAACAGCAGCGGTGGCTGAGCCACTTGAAGGACCAGTGACGAAACACTGGGACTGAAAGGCACGGTATTCAGCTTCCAGTCATTCTTTTATGGACAATCACACAAGGAAAGACAGAAAAGAAGGTACAAGGATTTGAAAATGAGAAATAAAAGTCATGACTCACAGAATGACATTGTATGCAAAAAATGGAATAGAATCTCCATAATAAATATTTATTATGAATTGACAAAATTTGATAATGAAAAGGTAATCATATAAAATCAAAAGTATTTTTCTCTGTGTATCATATTTAAACAATTAGAAAATGAAATTTTCTTCTTATTCATAGTTAGAAAATAACCTCAAAGCTTGAAAAATGCCTAGACATAGGTTTAATACATATGGCCCAGACTTCTTATACCAAAAAAGTAAAAAATATGGTAGAGAAACTGACAACTCAAAGAAAGAGGTAACAGTCCATAAAATGGAAAGTGAGATGTAAAAATCTCAATTATTCCCATCTAACCTATGTATCTGACGTAATTCCAGTAAAAATCCAATAGAAATTTCTTAATTGATGGTAGAGTACATACAGGGGTCCAGAGATAGAGTTAGAGAACTTTCTATCCATCAAGATGTATTATAGCTATAATGGTTAAGATATTTCAGAATCCATTTAAGGACAAATGAATACAACAGAAAACAGATTTGAGAAAGAGCTCCATCCCATGGCCATCTAAGTCATGGTGAAGGTTTCACTGCAGTGCAGCAAAGATACACACGAGAAAACATCATTAGTCTGCCCCCTCTCTGTTAGCGCTGTGAAATAAATCAGGTTGACGTGGGTGACATGCCTTCAACGGAAAAATTAAAACGATCAAACTTCAGGAAGAAAATACACAGGAGCATCCTTATAACCAAAGCCGAGACTTCTTAAGCAGGACTCAAAACTCATTAACCATAAATAATTTGTAAAACTCACAAACTTCTTTTCACCCACAGATACCACTGGAAGAGAACGATACAAGCCAGAAACTGAAAGGAAATGCTTCCAGCATGTGTACCTGGATATCGAAAACTCCTCCACATCTGGAAGAAAAATTAAACTCATTCTTCAAGAACGGCAATACACTTGAATTGACAATTCATGAAAGAAGATAAGCAAGTGAGCACCAAGCATCTACCGGCATCCTCATTAATTATCAGAGGAATGCAAATTAAAACCACAGTGAGATGCTATAGCACAAGGGCGAGACAGGCTAGGATCTGAAAAACACCGATCCAACAAATCATACTCGCCACACTAAAGACTATTTGGCTTCTTCCACTGAAGCTTTTAGGATGCTGAGTTTAGGGTGCTGGGCTCCATCCCAGAGGACACTCCATGGGAATACTACTGTGTGTTACCACACATACATACTTTTATGGGTGGACCCCCCAAAGAGGCAACAGACTATTTATATTACTCATAATAACCAAAAAGTGATTAACCCAAAGGTTGCTCAATTAGGAGTACATAGATAAATTAGAATGTGTTCAGATAGTAGCTTATTGTTGGGAAATGAAAATGAGTAACTACTTCTACAAGCAACAGTGCAGCTGCTATCAGAAACACGATCAGTGAAACATGATAAAAGAGACTGCCTGTATACAAATTTTAAGGATGAGACAAACTTACCCATAGTTGTGGACCCCAGAATGCTTTGTAATGATTGCTGTGTGGGGGGGAAGGGCTCCTTCTAGTCCTGGTCTTTATGAAGCTGCTGAGGACACAAGTGTGCTCTCAGAATACAGCTCCACTGAGCCCCGACACTATGTGTGAGTACCATTCTGTCAGGTGACCTGGGACAGACCGCTTACTTAGAGAGGGTCTGGCCAGGACTTAATAGCCAAATAAAGAAGAAAAGAGCTAAAGGTGATGGGAAAAGGGACACTGTTACTATAGCATTTGAAAAGCGCCACTAAATTTCAGAGAAGAAAAATAAAGCAAGAAAGTAGATGATGAGAAAAGGTAGAAGAGATGCTGGTGATGAAGAGAGATGGGAAACTTTAAAATAAAAAGTATTGTAGCATTGTATTTTTCTACTGAAGAATGTTTTTACATTGCCGTAATTATTGAAAGAATTAACGATAGTCTTTGAAAACATATTTTGTGATAAACAAGGACAGTTTACAAAATTTCTTAAGCAGGACACAGACATCATTAACTCTAAGTAATTAATGACAAAGTCAAAGTTAGTGACAAAATCCTAAAATATGACTACCTATAAGTGCTCAAACCTGAAGAGGCTGATTTGATGAAATGGTGAAACATTCTAAATGCATTGCAAAGAAGGAAATGTTTAAATTGCAGAAACCCAGAGATTTTCTTTATTTCATCATTGTTTTGTATTCCTTTTGAGACAGGGTCTCACTACATAGGTCAGGCTGGCTTTGAACTCACTATGTAGCCCGGGCTGGGCGTGGACTCATGTTGATCCTCCTGTCCTCCTGTCTCAGCCTCCCATGTGCTGGGATCACAGTGTGCACCACCACACCCGACTTCATCTCAGCAATCTAACACATTTCCTTGTTTTCTGAAGCTGGCACTTGTTGTGTGCCCTGAAGGGTCTTCAGAGCAGGCTGGGGACTCGGAGCACAGGCCCGGGGTGTGTCAGCCAATGGCAAGGCTGCCGCGCCTCCTTCAGGGGGGTCACTGAGTGGCCCATCAGCATGCTGGGCACCCAGAGTGCCATGCAAGGTTTGCCTGGTGCCAGCTCTGGCTGCTTCTGGGTGGAGCTCTGTGGTCACTGGGTCCCTCTTTCTGGCTGGGCCTCCAGTCCCTGGAGTGCTGGACGCAGAGTCTGCTTCCCTACCATGCATAAAGGAGCCTGCAGGCGTATTCTGTCCCACTGCAGCTGCTGGCCTGGCTGCAACCACTCAGGAGCCAAAGCAATTCATTCTATGCCTTTTGGGGAGGGGGGCACAGGCCTCGCCCCCTGCCATGTTTTCTGCTTGAAGGTTTGGGAACTTCATGTTGCTGCAGATGCTACAAACTCCCCAGTCTAGGGTCTAAATGCATTTTGTATGAGTTAAGATCAGAGCAACTTATAGTTGGTTTTGAAAGATCAGGGCTACAGTAGGAAGTCATGAATATCTTGCTCAGTCCTGGTTGATGCAGTTGACATATTTTACCTTGGTTCCAATGAAGTTAATGCTCATCCCTGCCTCAGGTTAAAAAAAATACTGACTTTTCCTCTTGGGCTAAAAATGTGTACTGAGTCTAAGAGGGTTTTCATTTATTCAAGATTTACTGGGCAACTTCTATGTGTCCCATATGTGGCAGCAAAGGAAACGAAGGTCCTGGCCCTGGGAGCTTGCATTCTACTGGTGTGGGTATGCCGGGCTGTGCACTTGTATGTGCACGCATGGGTGTGCACTGCACACATAAACACGTGTGTAGGAGATGTAGACAATGAGGGGTCTTGATTAGGAAACTGCAGAGCATGTTGGAGGTGGGGAGTGTGCAGAGGACGAGGCAAAGCAAGGCAGTGCTGCACGAGACAGGAGCAGACGTGGAGACGAGGCAGCAGCCCTGGGCACAAGCGTCACCTGTGCTCGCTGGACACCTCGGTGACCTCAGGCCACATCGCAGAGCCCGAGGGGAGAGCTGTGGCCCTGGGGCCAAGAGACGAGCTGGGCAGCAGACTGGATCCAGACACCTGAGCTGCTGCAGACTCTGGACTTGCAGGATATCGGAAGCTCAATGGGAAGAAAAGTGAACCGCTGCGTGCTTAGGGCGCACAGCTCTGAGCACGGTTGGGCCAGGCTGAGGGGCAGGGGAGCGAGGTGAGCAGCCGCAGTGTCAGGATGCGGCCTGTCTGCCAGACCAGCACTGCCGATGTGTGGGGAGAGGCGTCGCCTTCTCACCCCCGTTAATCACGGGCTGATACTTTGATAAACGTATAACATGGATCACTAGAAAAATGAGATGAGAAAAGAAGACATACAAAATACAAACCCAAATTCTTGTTAGATCCAACAGACTCAAATTTCACTATCCAACTGCAGTAAGAGTCTCTAAAAATATTTACTTTCTTTACAGATTGCTAATAAAATGTGCAGGTGAGACGTTTGAAAAGCACATATTATAAGTCCGCAATGCTTGAATGGCGTGTCGATCCACAGGGTGTGAACATGGGCTCCATAACTTCAAGCACTCATTTAGGAAACTGACCCTGGAGGATTTAGCTCTTTGGTTCTTCTGCTATGGGATGAGGAAAGCCACGCCTCACATGGTGGCAAGTCCACAGCCCACGTGAGCTTCAGCAAGTTAGGGAACGTGACCTCCACTTATTCAGATAGAGACAAGGACAGCAAAGAGCACCGCGAATTCAGGGCACTGTGCAGAGGGAGAGCCGGGCTATGACAGACAGGGGGAGAAGGTGTCACTCAGGCTGGAACACGCCAGCCAGGCCTTGTGGCCACATGATGGGGGGCTCAGTCCTCGAGGAGTGCCAGGTTCATCGCTGGAGTCAGAGGCCCCCTAAACCTAATGTCACCAACCAGGGTGGGGTACTGACATCATGGCTTTGCAGGAAGCCAGGCAAGGTTCACTTACACACACAAGACTCTGAAACCAGCAAGAAAGCAAACAAGAACCCAGGCTGGCGAGCTGTGGAGGGAAAGAAACCCTCTACCTCGCTGGTGGAAAACTGAACTTGTACAACCACTATGAAATCAGTGTGGAAATTCCTCAAAAAACTAAAACGAGAAGTTCCATTTAACCCAGGCATTGCCCTTCTATGTATCTTCCCCAAAGAGTCAAAGACGTCATATTACAGGCATATATGCACACCCATGTTTACAGCAGCACAGATTTAGTAGCTAAATCTTGGAAGCAGCCTCTATGCCCATCAGCAGATGAATGGATAAAGAAAACGTGATGTTACACACAATGGAGCACTACTTTGCCATAAAGAAGGATAAACTTGAGTCATCTATAGGAAAATGGACGCATCTTGAGACCTTAATGTTAAATGAAATAGGTCAGGCACACAAGTTTAAGTATAGCACGGTTTCTCTTCTGCGAGAAACCCAAAGCGTAAATAAAGAGCAAACTAAAACACAGACAGTAGAAACAGGGAGACAAATCTACTGCAAAAGGGAAGGAGGCCAGGAGACGGGGGAGGGAGAGGCGAGAAAGAAGATGAAAAGTAAGTGAGATGCGCTACGTGTGCGCACCAGCTTCCCACAAGCAATGTGATCGCTGTACTGCAAACGTGGACTAGTAAAAATAATTAAAAAGAAGGGTCTGAGGGAGTTTCTGAAGCCCTCTATTCCACAGACTCGACAGGAAAGCTCGGCGAGCAGAGAGTCTCACAGAAGTCCCTGATGCAGGGCCACTTGAGCCCTGGCCATGACCCGGGCCGGAAGGGCCCACGGCCTCAGCCACAGAAGGACCCTGCTTCCCTCCCATGAGCAAGGTGAGTCCCAGGAAGCAGTGGAGACCACTGAGGTCCACTGTGAGGCGCCAGGGAGAGGAAGGTGGTCCCCGGGTGGTCAGGGGCTGTGGTGAGGGCCGGGCCGGCTGGGCTGCGGCTGAGACAGGACCATCTCAGGGAGAGAAGCTGGTGAGTCTGTGTTTAGGGCATGGAGCCAGAGGGCCAGCAGCCGGGGATGAAGGTGTACAAACAATTCGGTCTTCCTGCGCTACGGTCTTCTAATACTGTCGTGACAAGGAAAAGGTTAAAAAAGAAAACCAAAATAATGCTGGGGCAAAGACTAATAAAAATGACACAGAAACAGCGCACACTTGTCCAGGGTGGGAGCAGAGTCCGATGTAATCAGGTCTCACCACTTTATGGCGATGAGTCAATTGCACTAATTGTGATAGAAATCATTTAATTTTAAGCATATTTATGGCAACAGCAATTTATCCAAGCATTAAGATGCTCTACTACATTTCATAGACTAACCAGCCTCTGACAACGTATCACTTATTAAGGAAACCGCACACGTCACATTTACATGAAAATTACTTCATCAATTTCTCAGTAGATTAGGAAAAATGGGTATTATCAAGAGAGGATAAGAGGTATGTGCGTAATCAGATTTCTCCATAGACATTCTGATTGAATTGCTCTGTGGTTTGTGTCAGAGATAAAATCAATGGGGGGTGGGGGGAGAGGGGCTTTGGGATCACAGGGAATCTATACTATTATCTATCAGTATTGGAAGAAGAGATAAGCAAGAATAAAATTGCTGTAAACCAACGTTCCATGCTGCTTGGCATCTGAGTAAAATTTTTTATCCTATTATCAGAAATCAGGCATGGATTATTTGCTTTCCAGACAGAGACACTTCCCGATCATTTGGAGCAGCAAGACTGGCCCTCTCAGTTGGTCCTCCTCAACTTCCCCACCGGACTGAGGCTGTGGCCCAGCTGCTGAGGAGGACTGCATTTTAGGAGCGGTCTCACACCCTGCCGGTGTTACCAAGACCTTCCCTGGCAGTCACCACCGCAGGGAAGCAACAGTAGCCAGCACTTGTGTCTGCACTGGGTATTGGCTTACACTTGGCTCCAAAGCTTGGATTTCAGCTGACCTTGCTTATAACACAGACAGTGTGAACCCGGACTCAGAAATCTAACCCAAGCCACGCCCACGGGCCTAAGCCCCCAGGAACCCGTTATCTGCAATATTTGCGCCACTACAGGGTGAAGACAACAGTGGAAAGGCGATCCCCAGGGCACTCACATAGATCTGATTGTTCCCGAAGCGCTTCTGAATTTCATAGAGCAGGCTGCGGTCGTTGAGCTCACTGAGCGTGGCCAGGTCATCATTGGGAGCTGGCGGCATGAGCTTGACCTGGGGGAGAGTAAGTGTGGTCAACTCTTACTGCTTTCCAATCAACTTTCTGCACAGTTGGAAATTCCATTTTTTTAACATGTCAAAAGTTTGCAGACCACCTGAGTTTGAAAGTGTTACTAAAGGGTGAAATGGTTCAGTGAGAATGAAAAAAATATGCAAAGCCACTGAGTAATGCATTCAGATGAGAACTGGCGCGCTCATCTCTGCCCTCCACTGTGCACATGCCTCACCCTGAAGGCCACCTGACGCTCAAAGTCATCGCAGCTGCCCAGCTCATTCCTGCGTGCTGATGCTTCCTGTTCCCTACCTAATTCAGGCAGCTCTGTGCTGTCCTGAGCCCCCGTCACAGGCACAGCTGACATGCTCAGGGGCTTGTGGTGTCCCCAAACTGAAATTCTCCCTGCTGAGGTGGCAAGGCAGGAAGTGTCTGCAGTTAGCCTCTGCATTCACGTAGATGAGCCAGATCTTCACAGAGGACCCTAGAGCTTTCACTGTGATTTTCATTCTGTCCAACATTACTCTTGATGAGAGTAGCTGTGAGGTTAAGAGAATTGTCACAAGCTTTCTCACTCAATTGAACACAGTGACAGAGTTTAAAATTGGGCAGTGTTTCAAATAAAATGCGGGCAAATTTGGATCCTTGAATAGATGGAAAGGAGCAAGGCTTAATTTTACGGACACAGGATATGCTCTGAAAAGTAGGCATTTCCTGTAATAGGACAGTGTTGGTTTTCTTATGTCAAACACAGGAGAGCAGAAGATCAAGAATATTCTTATCAATGTTCCTGTGAGCCCACTGGTGCCCACAGTAAATTTTAATAACAGCAAGTCTGTTTGTATTCTTCTTATTCTTGTTTGCTTTCTGTATTTACATTTTTTATCTGTACTTGTATTATATGTTGCATTATTAACTGCATGTAGCATTGCTCAATAATTTAAACAAATATCACTATTTATCAACAAAATGTTTGCATAGTGAAAATTACATCTTTTCAATATTAAACTTAGGATTATTTTTCTGATATTAGTGAATATTTCACAACAGTAAAACTCTCACATGAGTTTATAAAGTCAGTTCGTTGTTCCTCAGGCTGTCTCTCACTTAACACAATAATGACAAAAGAGCAGTTGGTGCCCTGGGTATCTCAGAGCTCAGGGGCATGGTCTGCATTCTAGTTAGAAGGTGCTGTGGATGGGGTCTCCTAGCACTGATGATACAAGCATTTCTGTAGGCAGGAAAATCATATTCCGATGGTGGCATGCTTACTTATTTGAAAATTAATTTGCAAAATATTCTGACGTCAGAAATGTCAAGAACAAGCCTCCTTCTGCCACACAACATGCACACTCAGCCAAACATGTCGAATGCATTATTTCCTCTACTCTTCAACAATTACAAGGAATATCTGTGAAACATCTTACCGATTTAACCAACACAAAGGATGTAACACAGCCTTATTAGAATTATTTGATATTAACTTCTTATAATTAGTTAACATTAACATAGTTATGGAGTTTAGAATCATCTACTTAAATAGTTCAAAAGTAGCATGCCAGGACGGGCACTTTTTGAAGATAGAAGCAGAAGTCACAATGGTCTCAGCGTTCTTAACCATTTCCTGGGTTGTGAGGACAATTTGGGGATTATATGAAATCGGTTTCCTGACACAACAACACAGTTCATCATGAAAAGCCTTTCAGGCACAGGAAGTGGCTCAGAGGAAAGGAGGAGAAATGTGGCCCAGTCCCTAGGCCACGTTTCCTGCCTCCAGGCTGTGTCCTCAGAACTCATTAGTGATGCTAATGTGCGAACACCCAGAGTAGCTGCGCCTCTCTGCCACCAGAGTTAAAACTAAGAGCAAAATAAAAGACAGATTCTAGGAAACAGGAAGACAGAGCTTTCTCAAAGAGAATGGGATCTTTCTTCAGAGATGGGGAGAGGAAGGAGGAAGAGGAGAGAAAGGGGGCATAGAGGAACAGAGACGCGTTCTGCACAGGCACCGACTCCCCATGAGGACTGTCATCACTACGGACTGCAAACAGGCCCTGCTCAGTATAAAAATGTGAAAACTCACCTAGTCTAAGCCGTGGGTCGTTCATGTTCTGGCATAAGCCCAGCTGTGCCCTCCCCCAGCTGGGAGAGCTGGAACATCTTCTATCTTAACATCAGGCAGCTGCCCCGACTTCTCTCAGGACGTGTGGTGACTATGGCGTGAACACATGGGCTGGTTGTGAGAATGACAATCACGTGGGGCCTCAGCTTGGCACCTGCTCTGCAGCCAAGGGTGCATCCTTGCTGTCGCTTGTCACACACTTAGAAATGACCCCGGGCACCAATGGTCGGCTCTCCACCAGCTCCCCGGGGGTTCCTGGGCATGGCCATGTGTGCCTGCATCCCCAGCATACTGAGAGGCTGAGCGAGAAGAGGATCAGTTGTTCAAGTTCAGCCTGGGCGACTCAGTGACTTAGCAAGACCTCGTCTCAAAATAAGAACTAAGGGGAAAAGGAGGTGAGTGGGTGGGGAGAGAGCTGGGGATATATGGCCGTGGCAATGTGAAGGTCCTGGGTTTGATTCCTCGAACCGTGTAAAGACACACACTGCTGACACACACTGAAGCACAGTGTGGAAGACCATACCACCGTGGAGGCAGCAACAGGAGCCGCTTGGAGTGGGGATCAGAAATGGGACTCGGCTCTGAGCAGAGCCCAGCCACGGGAGAGCTCGGCTGGAGCCAAGGAGCAGGAAGAGGTGCAAGGTGAGGGAGAGGAAGTTCCGGGAGGAAGCGCCAGGGCTGAGAGGGTTCCAGCTGAGGCGATGGCGGAGGACAGGGAAGCCAATCAGATACTGAGTACGATCAGAGGCGAACCCTGGGGCCTCTGGACAAAGTCCCTTGGCGCAGGGTTGTTTTAAGAAATCTGGATTTACACGGAAGTGTGCAGGGGCCCGAGAGAAGTCCGAGGGCCCAGCCACAGGTCGGCAGGCAGAGCAGCCAGGACTACACTGTCCTCGGCACAAACACTCAGTTTTTTCTCTGCCTTAAAACTCAGTTCCCTTTCCCGTACAACTTTTGGAGAAGTTTCTCCTGCTAAATAATACTTTGCAAAAGTTTGATATTCACGGCAGTGAAAGCCCAGAGGCCCAGAGTGGCCACAGGACATCCCCAGGGCCCTCAGCTGGTCAGCAGGAGCAGGAGCTGGGACAGGAGCTCAGGGAAGGTCACGAATAGGGCTGCTACCACAGGTGCGGTCATTTGCCAGGTTTTCCCTCCATGGACTGCCAGGCACTGAAGCAGTGATTCGGTTACAGGATGGAACAAAAGCGACGTCTCGGACCTCAGAGTGTTTTCAGTCTACTGGTGGAGAAGCAAGGGCCCTAGGCGGAGCTTTTAGCAGATGGTCCCCTCCAAGAGGGCCAACTGAAGGTGAAACTGGGAAATGTCTGGCAAGGCTGCCCTTTGGGATGCAGGAGAAGACTGACCCCGAACAGGAGCAAACGTGGGGGACACCCTGCGTCGGAAGCAGGAGAGCCGTGAAGCGGGGAGCTGCAGCAGGCACCAAGGGGGTTCCGGGGCACGGAAGTGACCACCAGGCGGGGTGAAGACTGGCTTCACGGACTCAGCAGAGCACCCACAGCGTGTGGAGGGGGGCAGTGGAAGGGGGACTCTGGCTAGCAAATTCCAATCCAGGAGGCCACAGAGCAGGCAGGAGGGGAGGGGTGGACCGGTGCTTCTTCACTCGGGCTTGCGGGTGGCAGTGGGTAGGGAAAAGCAGGCGATGCTGGGCGTCTCTGCCTTCGTTTTCCACCTGTCCCCTCTGTCACCTTAAATGTGGGGTCAGATCCCTGCTCAGCACTGCACAGGGACGTGTTAATCATTTAAGGAGGGGTGGGCAGCCCAAAGCCAGGGGCAGCCCCGTGGATATGAGGCCCGTTCTTCCTCCCAATGACTCTGGACCCAACTTCTCTAAATCATATGTTCAGCCCCTTACTGCCTCCTTCTCTACAGCTGCAGGCCTTCTGGAAGCCAGGGGAAAAGGGCCTTGTAAAAACTGCAACTCCCGGAGGAGCTTCAAGGTGCTTAGTGATCCAGGAAAAGATATTTCCAAAATAATCACATCTGCTGCTTCTTTCCATACCCTGAAACCCCTAGAAAAACCCCAGGCTTTCGCCCCATGGGATTGCACTCTTGGACAGTCACCCACTCTCCTTCCTGACAGCCGTCACGGGGTTTAGATCTACAATGTCCCCAGTGCCTGCGTGTCTGGAACCCGGCTGGGTCCTGGGGCTCACTGCTACTTGTTAGGAGGCACGGTCTGGTCAGAAGAGGCAGTCACTGTGGACATGACTGGAAGGGCTTATTTTCCTCCCCAGCTCCTCCTTTGACTCCTGCCTCCCGGACACCTGATGCCTGAGCAGTTTTCCTCTCCCCTGCAACCAGCTGACTACGGACTGAACTGTGAGCCACAGGAAACCTTAAGTTGTGGCTGCCGGTATCGGTCTCAGAGGCGAGAAAGACTTAAGACAGCAGTGTTCTCTGAGCTGCAGAAACTCCTGTCTTTTCTCCTCGTCTATGGTAAATTCTCTGTACAACCCGTGTTTCACAGGACAACCCTCCTCCATCAAGGCTGAAGGCAGGGAGATGGACTAACCTGAGTTTCTGCAGGAGCATCATCAAGAGGCTGCCAGCTGTTCCAGACCCCTGGAGTGATGCCTCCACGTCCCCAGGCCTCGTCCTAGAACCACACCCACCAGGAACTGAGGAGCTTTGCCGGAAGTCATTGTAGCTCAAGGCTGCTTCCAAAGCAGGGGCGATCATCTCAGAGGGGAACTACTGTGCTGCACCCTCAAGCAATGCCGACTTCCCCAGAGCTTCCCCAAACCACACACACAGACCAGGGTCGGACCCAGACGACTGCATCATTCCTTCCTGCCCGCCTTCCCTATATATGCTTGTGTTCTTGTGAGGCCCGAGACAGCCGTGACGATGTTTGCCCCCGCCTGCCCTGGCCTTCTCTCCTGAACAAATCCCACTCCTGCCTTTCACCATTACTTTTCCCATCTTGTTTCTGGAATGAGTGGTCAGGCTTGCCTTGCTGGAAGAACCCATAGTCATATCCTGCTGGCCTAGGACTCAGGCAAGCAGTGCATCCAGAGAAAGAACAGTTAGGACACTCAGCCATGAGCTGCTGCACTGCACTTGGTTCTCTACTCAGGGTTAATCTGGACAAGGGTGGGCTGCTCCTGCCTTGATGGACAACATAATGCATCCTAGGGCCGTGGACTGAAATGCTTGCCTTGGATATAAAAAGACTCTAGAAAAATATGCACAAATGGGCAAGGCTGCATGTTCCAGGAGGGCAACACCCATCGGCAATAGGAGACTTGTATTATCAATTTAAGGGTAAATATAAATATCTTTTCTTTCTAATGTATTTGCAAACATTATCCCAAAGAATTAAAACTTGGGCAACTCATGGATACCTCAAAATGAACAATGTAGTATGTGTTCATGTTTGTATAGACACAAATATTAATATACCTATGTAATATGCATGCATATATAAATAATATGATTGCAATAACTTTGAACAATGGCCAAAATATGCAGCAAGTTGGCATATCTATTTAACTTCCAACGCAATCTGGAAAAAGAATTATCAAGAGCAAGATTTTTTGCTTCAAGGATAATGATTTACACTAAGAGAATAAAATTCCTCTCACAACCACAATGCTAATGATCCCAATGCCATTTTCTTCCCACGCACTTAGCAGAAGCACAGTGGTGCTGACAGATGTTTGCATTTGTTCTGAGGAGTCTGGGAGGACACTTAGGGTCTCTCTTTGGTGTTTCCAAGGGGTCTCCTCCCCAGTGCTACAGCTGCTATGTGGGCGAGAGATACGAGGCTGACAGCAAAATGTGACCACCCCAGCCAGCCTGTTTATAGTAAGGAAATGCCACAAACTGTGTGCTGCAGAGCAGGGGAAGGATTCCTGGCATTTCCTGAGTCATGCCAGGATTACAAAGTGATCAAAAGGAAGCTTTGATCATCAGCCCTAAGCAAGGCTGTCCCGGGCACAGATTCTGCATAAAGATTTCAAAGGCATGTTGGCAGCTGAAGGCGAGCAGAGAGACAAAGAAAACTGTCTGTCACTACTTCTATGTTGTACTTGCAGGGTGAATACTGCACAGGACAAATGTCTACCATCAGTTACGACAGTCTAAGCCGGTGTCAGATAAAAATGCTTCAAAAGGTTGCATATCTCCCCAGGACTGACCTTTATGTTTTATTATTGTATATATTTGTCCAAAAGGAGCAATCTAAAACACAAAACAAGACATAATGCAAAAGATACTGAAAAACTCAAAAGCACTTTGAGAAATGTTTCCAGATCTGAGGGAAATTTGTTCCGGGACCACACGGAGCCCGCTGCACCTATCCCTGCTCCTACAAGTCTGCTGTCAGCACTGTTGGATTTACTGCTCTGTTTTGTTTTGTTTGCCTATGATTTTTCTCTCCAGGAAACAGAGTGGACGTCTAGGGATCAGCTCCTTGCTCAATGGGCAGAAAAGAAGCCTGACCCAGGAGGTGAGGGTGACAGGCTTGGGGCTCTCAGTGTAGGGGAAGCTACAGAATCCAGCATGGGTCAATGGAAAGGGAAGAGGAAGTCAGATAAAAAGACCAGGTGACCTTGGTCCTAGCAGGACAGGGTGATAATGTGTCAAGTTCTGTGGGTTCCCAAAGCTGACACACTGCCCTGCTGAACGGCCCTGTCATGGTCCTGCCCTCCTCCTGCTTCATAGTTGTATGTTTCTTGGTGACCTTGCCAAGCCCTGTGACTTACTATTTCCTCACTTGGCCGAGGAGCTACGTTTGAACACAAACCTTGCGTGGGAAGGAGCAGGCCAGAACAGAAGTAGAGAGAAGGGGAAATGTATTTTTTTTTTTGGTACTGGAGATCGAACTCGGGACCTTGCACTTGCGAGGCAGGTGCCGGAACCACTGAGCTAAAGCCCCAGCCCAGGAAATGTATATTTTTAAGCAGCAAAAAACACTTCTATTTCCTCAGCGGTATTATGAAAGCAAATCCTATTCTCACCGACTCGCAAAAATTTTTTTAAAAAGTTGAATCAAACCTTGACTATCCATCTGCAGTCATCATTTGAGAAGAAGACCTACAAGTTACAAAACTTTGGAAGCAAAGACGCTCAGTGGTTTTTATTTTGATTACAATTTCTTTTCTACATTATGAGTTTCTCCTTCAAATGTGAATCAGAACTTTGTAAGCTTCAGAAAGTCTTCTCTAAGGCCCTGCTGTGACTGCTGAGAGTGCAGCGCAGTCAGCCCCGGCCCTGGGTCGCCCCGAGAGACCCACCCGAGTCTCGAGTCTCCTGGCCAACGCTGTGCGTGGGTCTGAGATAAACGCAGCAGCCGAAGTCCTAAGGCAGTACCTTGCCCTCCCATACGGCGCATAAACAGCGCGGGGTTACAGTGATTTCCACCTCTAGGACGCAGTGCTAAGCGCTGACATTAACAACAGAAAAGCAGCCCTGCAAGGATCTCACTTGATGTGCTTATAGGTTGGGAAGGTCTTCTCACTTTCAAACAATGTTTTATGTTTTCTGAAAATACTGTGTTGAGTTAACATTTAAAAGCAATCGTTTTGCCTGTTAGGAATCCTTTTGACTCCCGGAGGTGGAAATCCCAGTACCTTAATGGAAGGTTTGACCCGAATTTGCTTATCTTTAACTAAATAATTATCTTTGAACTTCTGCTGAACTTGGACAAATAGTTGAGAGCTTAAGAACACATCAATGGAAACATAAAATAAATTCAAACATAAGAATTCATTACAAATCATGCAATGGCTCTACTTGTATTAGAAAGGGTTTTTTTAAAATGTTAGCAAATCTCAACAGTAGGATATCAAATTAACTTTAGAGTTTCCACATGTTTTTATAAACTAATTAAGAAAAGTATTTCAAAACAATGCCAATAAAAATGAAAAGAAGGACCATTTTAAAGTTTTATCTAAAGCAATCTAAATTAAATTAAAATTTAATTTGGGGAACAGAGTTTTTAAAAACTCTAACTACACTAAAATATTCAGAATTAGAGACCCTGAAAGAAAATCATTTGAAGGATGCAGATTACACTGGCATTTACAAAACAACCTGTAAAATCATTTATTTCTGTGGCAATGAAAAAAGAAAACAGACTCACTTCTATAATCCCAAACTCATCAGCTTGCCGACTCCAAAGTGATTAACCTGAGCGTGGTGGTCCATGCTTGGACACCTCTCCACAAGTGCACACACACGCATGCACACACATGCACACACACACACATGCACACACACACAGTGAGCCGCCATAGTTATTTACTTCTAAGTATAATGGCTGTCAGTGGCTCTTTGTTCTTTCTCTTGCCTGCATTTGGATAGTTGGGGAAAACAGAAAAACAGACTACCTAATATTCAAAATAACAATAAAGGACTCACCAGGAAATACGCAAGAAGTAACAAACCAGCTGAGCCTGTATTCCTGGTACAGAGGTCAAGACTGTGAAATTCAAATTGGTGTAAAACACAGTAGCAATTACGTTTGTCAGTGATGAATACAATGCTCTCTTTAATCATGGGAACTGTAACCAAAATGGTAACCTCTGCATTCCTCAGTTTCTCTTTGAATGGAAAGTAGCAGATACTTGCTTCTGAAATATGCTGGACTGTAAGCGGGACGGCATGTGGAGGAGTACCGCGGCCACGAGCGCTTACCTGATCAGGTTTGCCAGAGCTGTTCATCGTGGCATGTTCAGGGGCAGTGTCCGGGGACTGTGGCTTCCACAGCCCTTTTGCTGCATCTTTGAACATGATATCTTTTTCCAACAAACTGTCTTGCTTGGCTATTGGTAGCACCAGGGGACTGCTAAAGGAAACAATCAATACTATAATTAGTTTTCTTCTAACATTATCCTATCAATCAAGAACTGCAGGACAGCTGGATGCTACAAAGTTCTTCTATTCAGATGACACAGTTTCTAGAAACTGCAGGAGAAAGTAACAATGTAGAATCTGTAAAGTTTTCTATTAATATCCATTTCATTCATTCATTCATACTTCTAAGAAAAAAATAATATTCATTTAGGCTCCAGAAGAAAATGTTTGCATATTTAATTGTAATAGACAAATCAATAAGCAATTTAAAAGCTAAGTTTGAAATGCATGACTGAAATAAGCAAGATATTTAAATGTAAAAATGGACTGCAAACAAGTGAAGAAACATGTAATCATGTACTCAATTTAAAATGTAATTCATTTAGGATATAAAATACAGAACTATAGGGAATATTTTAAGTTTATAATGAAATAACAATAGTAATATAAGAACTAGAAAAATGTTTAAGGATTAGATTTTGTTATTTGCGCACAGCTCAAACTAGGCAAAAATAAATAAAAACTAGTTCATCTCTTAGTCTTCTATAAAGCACACTGCCATAAAGAAAGACATTATTTTGTAATGTTCATAAAAAACAAACACAATTTAAATGCTGAATTGGCACTGTAATACTTTGCTATAGGATGTGAAAATGTATTTTCCCAAATGTTATCATACAACCAGAAATGCATGCATATTTAATCAAGTCAGGATATGAAAATATAATTACTTCCTATACTTTACAGTACCAATTATGATTCTAAGTAGAGGTCAATGCAATTGTTTGCTTTTTTAAATTTAAAGGTTATTAAGGTCAAATTTATATAAGGTAATATAGCCCCTTTCAAGACTCATACTCCAATGATTTCTGCCAAAATTTTTATAACTTTGTAACCAAAATAACCATGAGTTTTTTTTTTTATCCCATTTGTGCTCTCTGGAACCCATTATCAGTTGTTTTACTGGCTCTTAAATGTAGTCTGAATTGAATTTTTAATTATTTAACTGTTAAATAAAAATTAGATACATTCAAGGTGTCCAACATGGTGGTTTGATATACACCATGTGATGATGACCACGATCACACTGAAGAACACATGCATGACCACCATCCACAACAGACCCTCAGAACTGGACCTTCTTATAAGAGAAAGTTTGTGGCCATTGCCCCAAATCTTCCCATCTCTGGCAATGACTTCCGTACTCTCCTTCTATGAGTTGTTGGCTTCTCCAGATTTCCCACACAAGTGAAGTCCTCCAGTGTCATTCTGTGTCTAGTGTATTTCACTTAGCAAAATGTCTTCCACATTCTATCATGTTGCAAACAAGATTTTTTTTGTAGCTCAACAATACTGTGTTGTGCATATCTGCTTAAATTTCTCTGCCCATCCAACCATTGGTGCAACCTTGGATCGTTTCTTTCTCTTGGCTGTCATGAATAATGCTGATGTGAACACAGGGTGCACCTAACTCTTCATCCTGAATTCACCTCTCTCATATACATACTGCTGGGTCACATGGTAGATCTATTTCTCCCTTTCCAAGGCCCCTCCATTCTGCTTCCACAGGGACTACGCCTATTTACATACCTGCTCCCAGGCTACCCGGCTTCCCTCTCCTCCACCCCTCACCCACACTGGCCATCACTTGTCTTGCTGATGATAACCATCATAACAGGCAGATGGGGTGGGGTGGTGATATCTCCTGTGCCTTTGATCTGCACTTATTTGCTGGGTAGTGATGCTGAGCACTTTCTCATACAACTACTGGCTACTAGTGTGCCTTCTTTGGGAACCTGTCTATTTAGGTTGAATGCCCATTTTTAATCAGGTAATTTGAATTGTTGCTGTGTGTTGGGTGAATTCCTTTTATGTTTTGGGTGTTACCCTTGAACATATCTATGGCTCACGCCTGTTTTTGCCAGTTCTGTAGCTTGGCTTTTATGCTGATGATGGATTTCTTTGCTATGCAGAAGCTCTTTAGTGTAACATCATCCTACTTCTTTATTTTTGATTGCCTGTGCTTTTGGTGTTAGATCCAGAAACATCAGCACTAAGACCAAAGAGAAGAAATTTTTCTCAAAGTTTCCTTTGACGGATTTCAATGTAATGTTTGTATGGCTACAAGGCAAAGTCCCGACTTCAATCTTCTGCACACAGACACCCAGTTTTCCCACCGCAGTTTACTGCAGTGACTGTCAGAAGAACCAACCGACCACGTGGGGTTTGTCTCTGGCCTGCTGCTCTATGTCTGTTTTACGCCAGTGTCGCCCTGTCTTGATTACTGCAGCTTTGTGATGCCGTCTGAGAACGGGAATGTGAGGTCTTCAGCTTTCTTCTATCTCAAGATTGCTTCAGCACTTTGGGGTCGTGGTGGTATCTTAGAGCTCGCTCTTCTTTGGTTAAGTGCATGTGCCAATCCTTTGATCATTTTTTACTGGACTATCTGTTCTCAGAGTAGTGAGAATCAGTATTCTGCATGCAAGTCCTTTATCCCACATGCACTTGGCCAAATATTTTCTCCCATTTGGTGTTGCTATTATTTTATTTTCATTATTGTGTTTCAAAGAACAAATTTTCCATCGCATGGTTTGTACTTTTTAAGTCTCATCTAGGAACTCAGAGTCAACAAGGCTTGTTCCTAGGCTTAATTCTAGAAATTCCTTTGTTTTATGCATTATATTGAGGTCTAGGATCCATTGTGTGGGCTTTTTGTTTATGGTGCTGCATATGAATCAAGGCACATTTTACCACATTGCTGTCTAAATATCTCAGCACCAATTTTGAAAAAAAAGAAGTGTGTCTTTCCCCACACAATCAGCTGTTTGTCGCTGTTAAAAATCAATTGACTGTGTGTGTGCGTGTGTGTGTGCGTGCGAGCATGCATGCGTGTCTGCTTCAGGACTCTCCAGTGAGAACCACAGACATGTCTATTCTTACACCACTACTACCCTGTTTTAATTAATGTACTGACCCAGTAAGCCATGAAATCAAGTACTGAGTCATCCAACTTTGTTTTCTTTTTTGAAATTCTTTTGGTTATTTGAAATCATTAGCATTTTTATGTAAATTTTAGAGTCCACTGTCAATTTTTGTAGAAATGCCTATTGGGAATTTAATTAATGCTTTCAATTGATAAATCAACTTGCTTAGAGCCAAAATTCCAATAATGTTGAATTTTATCACCAATAAGCACAGTATATCAGTCTATTCTGATTTTGCTCATTTCTCTCATCCATTTCATATCTTCCAGAATTAAAATATTCAAATACTTTGTTAGATTTATTCTGATGATGTTATGGTTTAGATCTAAAATGTCCCCCCAAGTCTCTTGTGTTTAGGGTTGGGCTTTCGCTGGATCACGGGATGCTGTGCACAGTAGACTACTCCACTGAAGAGCTCAGGGCTGAATGCGCTCTTAGGATCAGGGCCTGGTTGAAGGAGGGGTCACTGGGGTGTATGTTTGGACAGTGTGCCTCTCACCCTGGGTCTTTCCTTCCCTCTGCTTCCTGTCTGCCATGACGGGAGCAGCTTCCCTCCACAAGAACTCCCACCATGACATTTCTGCCTTAGAGTCAGCTGACTACAAACCAAACCCTCTGAAACTGGAAGCCAAATAAACCTCCTCTCCTCTAAATTGCTGGGGATAGGCTTCTTGTCCCAGCAGTAGGAAACTGACTACCACAGGTGCATTCTTTGTTTGATATGCCATTACCAAATAATTGTTGATCATTAGTACACATAGGAGTAAAACATCAGTTGTGATCGTCAGTATACAGAGGACTGCAAATGCTCTGGGACACTGAGCTTGCCAGGGCAGAGCAGTGTGATGTGAGGGCATCTTTCAGGAGCTTGGGTCTCAAGGCTCTGCAGCCATCTCTGTGCTGGCCCCCCATGCTCTAGAAAGCAGGAAAGTGTGGAGAAGAGGAGCGCATGCCCCCTTCAGGGCCCCGCCTGACGGACAGGCAGGAAGTGCAGTTTATGGAAGTGTGGGGTCAGTCTTACTTCCTTTGCGCTCTGAACAATGGTATTTTTTTTAGTGTTTTAGTCAACGAAGTTACTGCAACTAGGTGAGGAGGCTGTGGCACACATATTAGTAAGAGTTGGTGTGGCATTATATAAGTACAGTGGGCATAGTTTTCAACAGTCAATATCCTATTTAATATTTAATGTTTTCAAATCAGAACAAGTACAAAGTTTCATGCCTATCACTTTGGCTGTTTCTGTCACCTTGGTAGTTATACAACTGTTTAGCTCAGCCAACCTGTAAGAGGACTGTGGTTAGGGCTCACTAACACACTCATATTGTGTGTCCAGAACTGGAGCGTGCTGGGTCTTTACCCGACCTACAGATTAACAGGTTAGCTTGTTGCTAGGTTAACAGCAGAAGACAAGAGCTTGCTGGGGCAGAGGCAAAGGACCTTATAACTTGGCAAGCACGGCGGCACCCAGAACCTCAGGTTCGCACAGTCCACCCTCCCTCCTGTCCCACCTGAGAGGAGGGTAGGATGGGCAGCAGCACAGCAGGACCCGAGGAGACTCCCACACACGGGAGCTGCGATCCAGGAGGGGAAGCCAGCAGCAAGCAGTGTATCAGACAACATTAAGCTGACCCCTCCAGTGGGGAGTGAGCGGCCATTTCCTGGAGTCACCAGTTGCCTCCATGATGACCCGAATAGGACTCTCCACCCGACAGCGTCGGCAAGGATGTGCTCGGTGCCCACGGGAGACTGCTACATAGCTATTAACAGTACCCTAGTAACTGAAAAAGATAACTGTACAAAATGAATGCTTATAATGCTTATAAAAGCTCATATCCAGATCTACTGAAATACTACTAAATAACAATTGATCGATAACTTTCGAAGAGGTCTTACTTCTTCCCATCCACTGCGACTTATATTCATCATTCCCAGAGTTCCCTGGAATGTGTCCTATACTTCTTTGACATAGGAGCCCTTCAAACACTTTGACATAGTTGTTGCGGCTACC